AGAAAACCTGCTCCCATTTCACTTACAGCACATATATTTTTGTATACTCTAGAGTACACAGAGAGTGACTTTTTCTTCCTTTAATGAAAATCCAGGCCAAAGACTGAAATTCTTCAAGCTTTCATTTCTTCTTTAGAAACTCAGTATTTCAGTTTGCTTGATTGCTGAAAAATTCCTCATTCAACCTAACGCTCCTCAAGAATTCTACATTCTTCCTTCTGATACTTAGAAAAACTAAAGTCATTGTAAAACTAAATAGACCTCAAATTTTGCTCTAATCTCCAAAAATTACAAAAATGGGAATAACACAAGTTACCCCAACATCTTTCTGGGGAACATGAAGAATTAGGATAAGTCTTATTTCATTCCAAAGTAGGAATTACTCAGACCACAGTCCTTCCATTTCTCAGGGGTCAGGTCACAGGCATGGGTCAAGGGTCTTCCATCATGGCAAGTTACTCACCAGGGAAGCTTTCCAGAGGAAGATGAGCATTGGTGTGATGGCCAGTGCAAACCATGACTCCATCAAAGACATCTGTCTCCTTTTTCCCTTCAGACTCAGTGACCACTTCCCACTGGCCTGAAGTTGAGAAATCAGGCCGCTTTTTCACAGTGCACACAGTGGTCTGAAAAGGAAAATGATAACCACAGGGGACACCCCTGACAAGACTCTCCTTGCAGAATCTCACACAGAGGGCTGATATCACAGGCACGCACTCTCACATAATAGGACCCATGTAGGGATATTTGATTTTCATACTCCACAAATAAGAACTGTTTTGTTTTGGGCTGTGGTCAGAATGAGAAAACTTCCACGAGGCAGAAAAAAGCAATAACATAGTGTTGGCAGGCTAATGTACCTTCCTCTTCTAGAAAAATGCGAGTCCCTAGGCCTTTCAGTCCGCGTCCTAAGGCACTGTAACACCTGAGTAAGCCTGGGCTTCTCCTGTGCTTTTATGACACTCCATGTATCACATGCCTATTCTTCTCCTGACCCCCAAATGTCCTGAGACCTTCTGATGTCTTCTAACCCCAGGTTCTCTTCTCCTGGCTAACTTTAAACACGTGACTGAGATATAGGGCTCCTTTTCCTGGTAGGGTAGAAAAACACCTAATGGCTCTCATTTTATATATATGAATCTCCCTTTGACTCCCATAGATACCCATTTTACAAGGAACTATAAAGAAAGAGGCTGTGAAACAGGATAGAGGTATGATTATAGCTTTTTTAAAAATAATAAATACGGGTTACTCTACTTAGGTTAAGGAAACATTATGAGCTTCTCAGGGCCATGACCATAATGTCTTGGACTAATAGGGACACCACCCCGGCCTGGGCGTGGTGGCTCATGCCTGTAATCGCAGCACTTTGGGAGGCTGAGGCAGGCAGATCACCTGAGGTTGGGAGTTGGAGACCAGCTTGACCAATATGGAGAAACCCCATCTCTACCAAAAATACACAATTAGTCAGGCATGGTGATGTGCACCTGTAGTCCCAGCTACTCAGGAGGCTGAGGCAGGAGAATTGCTTGAACCTGGAAGGTGGAGGTTGAAGTGAGCCGAGATAGTGTCACCGCACTCCAGTCTTGGCAACAGAGCAAGACTCTGTCTCAAAAAGAGGAAAAAAAAAAAGGGGAGATACCACCCCTGCATGTCTTGGCCATCCGGCACTATTTATCATGTTCCTCTATCATGTTCTTTTACACAGGCTGGTGCCTCTGCCTAAATTGCCCTTTTATTCCTTATTTAGTAGATTCCTACTCAACCTTCAAGACTCAGCTTTAAGAAAACTTTATCTCCTTTAAGAAACCTACCCTGGAACCTGATACTTTGTGCCTTGATGGGTTCAACATCTCTTCTCTGAGCTGTAATGTATAGATTTCTAGCTTTGTCCCCATGTCACTCTTTATTTTTATTTATTATATTTATAATACAATTTTTCTTCATTTTTTTATCTCTTTAACAAGACTATAAAGCTACCGATTTTTCCTTTTTGTCTTTGCATCTTCAATACTTAATATGATAACAAATTTGTTCGATAAGTATTGTTTAAACAACTGAAGAGAAGCACCACTGGAATGTAAAGGACTTACTTTAGAAGTTATCACCAGATGTTTTCATTTTGTTAATGTCGTTAAGCAGAAAAAGGCATGACTTAGCAGGATGATCACAAAGCAGAAGGTGCGGGCTTTTGGCCAAGTGTCAGAAACGTCTGTTCTTTTATGGTCATGATCGGAAATTATAGAAAAGTCATAGAATATTTTAGAGCAGAAAGGAGCCACTGAAGTGATCTAGTACAATCATTTTGTTTTACAAACAAGGAAATTTTAAAAATTGAAATTGAGGAACTTGCTTGTCTAACATCTAAGTTAGTCAGTGGTAGGACAAGGACCAGAATTCAGGTTTTTGTTCTGCAATTCCACGTTCTTCCCTCTACACCAGAGTTAACTACCTGACAACTACACTTTGCTGGATTTTTATGATGTTTATGTAAACAAATATATTGGAAAGTACTTCTGAAAGTATAAAAGGGCTAAGCAGTCATGAACAAGTTGTAGAACCTGAAGGTTTTTAAGTTCCCATACCTATCAGTTCCCTTCCATAATGGGGAAAACATTTCCCCTCATCTGTTTTATTGGAATCAAATTGTGTGAAATGAAGGTAACGAAAACACTCTGCCAGGTAGCTTCCTGTATATGCAGCCAAAATATATAAAAGAGAGACCTTCACTTGAATATTTTTGAGGGGCAAGGAGGACAAAGAATGGAGTTTTTGCCTGAGAAGACAGATGCATGTGCAAGTCAAGCCAATCTTTAGAAGTGAATATTGGTCATTAAAATCACATTATTCATTTACTTGGCAAACAACTTGAAACATAAAGATACCCACAAAATTTTCACCTTAAATCGAATATACTTTAGAAGGTCAAATTCTTTAGCATACATCCTGAAATACTCCAGGACCTGGGCATTATGCATGAAGTTAGGATAATGATCGGGGATTGGATAGTCACTGAAGCACATCATCTCTTTAGAAGTATTGATGATCACTGATTTGTAAATACTGGCCCTTCCTTCTTCAGCATTTTCCTGCAATAAATAGAAAGTATGCTTAGAAACTTGAGAATCATCTTTATGATTTGTAACTATGAAAAAGTTTTCTGAAAGAAGAGTCAATTAAATCACACACACACACACACACACACACACACACACACACACATCTTCTAGTATTTGTGCCCTTATATAGTCTTTCCCCTTGAATCTCGTTTGTCTTTTATGACTTGCTTTTGACCAACAGCATATAGTTGAAATGACACTGAATGACTTCCAAGGCCAAGTCATAAGTAGCCTGGGTCTCCGAAAGCTCGCTCTGGTAGAAGCTAGCAGCCGTATGAGAGATCCAACTACCATGAGACCACCATAGCATGAGGAAGTCCAACCTCACCACATGAAGAGAAGGTCTGGGAGAGAAAATATGTGGCTAGTCCCCAGAAATTCTACCTACTCCAGCTGAAGTTCTAAACATGTGAACAGAGAGTTACTAACACTGAGGAACAGTCTTTTAAATGAGTAACAGGCAAAATGGGAACACATACTGGAAAGAGTGTAACAGTTTCCATATACTGGAAAAAGCATAACTTCTCCATTGTTTTCTGGAGAGCAGTGTTAAAATGTATATCAAACTCCTTGCAATTTACCTAGTCTTTAAAAAAAAATATTCAGCATCACTGAGGAAGATTTATGTTTAAGGTGTTAATACCAGCATTATTCATAATATGAAAGGAAACAAGCTGAATGCCCAACAAAATAACTGAAATTTGAGAACCACAGCTATAGATCCTTACTCCCAAAGTGTGGTCTGTATACCAGCAGCAGGGGCTTCACTTGCGAGATTGTTAGTTAGAAATGCAGACTCTCAGGCCGCAACTCAGACCTACTAAATCAGAATCTGCATCTTAGCAAAATATTCAAGTGATTCAGATGCTATTGCAAACTGAGATGCACTTCATTAGATGACATTAATCCCTAATTCAGTGTTCTTTCCCCTACAAGAAACTTCTTTGCTTCCTCAAAAACTTCCTATTGAGGCCAGGCATGGTGGTTTACGTGTGTAATCCCAGCACTTTGGGAGGCTGAGGCTGGCGGATCACCTGAGGTCCGCAGTTTGAGACCAGCCTGACCAACATGGAGAAACCCCATCTCTACTAAAAATACAAAATTAGCCGGACATAGTGGCACATGCCTATAATCCCAACTACTTGGGAGGCTGAGGCAGGAGAATCGCTTGAACCTGGGAGGTGGATTGTGGTGATCTGAGATTGTGCCATTGCACTCCAGCCTGGGCAACAAGAGCGAAACTCCATCTCAAAAAGAAACAAAACAAAACAAAACAAAACTTCCTGTTAACTACCCATGGCGCTGTTGTGTTGATCACATAAAGTAATGCAACGATGCCATCTACCCAGCCTGTTATTCTGTCATGGAGACTTCACAAATGAGTTTTCAGATTTTTAGATTTTCAAAAATAGTTTTGATTATGGAAAATCACCTTAATCAATTTGGATTTCCTCCCTTTTTATTCTAGAAATGAACAGATATTGAGATATTGAGTATTATGAAACATAAATAGCCACAAAGGAGAGCATTTGTTGCCTTTGTCCATTTTTAGGGTTGTTTTTCTCCTCTGCCCCATGATCCAAAGTCTCATTCCTTTAACTGCTGATCACATTTTCACAAGTCTCCTTCGAAGTCTTTTCTTCTAATCTAGTCTACCTATTTCAACCAAAGTGTTCTCTCTGAGGTGTGGCTGGACTATATCTCTGCCCTAATTAAGATTTTAAATGTTGCCCTATTTCCTGTAGAATGAAGTTTCCATTTCTCAGATTAGGATTCGAAGACCTCCATAACGTCTTGTAGTATATTCCTTATCATCCCAACTCGATTGTAAGCCCCTTGAATTGTACTCCTGGTTTTCCCCACAGCATACAAAATGATAAATAGCACTCAATAAAAGTTTATTGGATGCATATCAAATTGTATTGAGAAAGGGATATATAAAATTAGATGTAAGTTCACAAAATGCATAACAAAACTAATAAAATACATCAACACTTATCTCAAAAAGAGTTCAATAAGATATATGTATCTCACTCCCAAAATGTTGTCCTAAGAAAAATTGCAAAATAATATAAAGTCAAATGCATAAAGATATGTTTTTATATTACTTAAATAGCAATTAATTAGAAACAATGTTAAATGTTCCCAAAATAGAAGAATGGTTTAGTAAGTTATAGTATCTCAACATGCAAAGTTTATCTCCCACACCACTCCACGGGTATTCTGATAAATACAAAGTAGATCCTGCCTCTCTACTGCTTAATGACTTCTCTTCATTCCAGAAAATAAAATTTCTTATTTTGAAATTTAGCACATTTCACAATCT